GTGACTTGTAGCGGGTTGCAGAAAAGAACAAGAGAACAAATGGAAGAGGAGAGGAAGGAGAGTGGATGAGACAAGAAGCAGGACCAGAAAAATGGAGGACTCTTTCTCTGCCTTATTTGGTTTATCTAAATAAATCAAAAGGAGACTTTGTCTGCAGAGAGACGACAGAGTTCTGAATCTTATTGTCCTGTAATGAACTTTCTCACTGTTGTCCAAGTGAGGAAAGCCATGAGAATTTTCTGAGTAACTCCTATTTTAGGCTTTTCCTCCAGGACGCCTCCTGTACTTGGCCATGGAGAAGACATACTCATTAACTGCCCACTATGATGAGTTCCAGGAAGTTAAATATGGCGGTCGCTACAGCAGTGACATCCTCAGCAACGGTATGACTCTTCACCTGGGGGGCAGCCTGGACCGTCACGTGGGGCGAGGAAGAGGAGGAACATGGTCAAAAAATCAAAATAGAGATCTGAGTAGCAACAGCAGCGGCAGCGGTCTTCCCCGATGGAGCAGGAGGGAGATCTGCCTCCTCTCAGCGTTGGTCTTCGCTGCTGGCATGTGTGTCATCCTAGGAAGTATGCTGGCTCTGAAGTACATTTCACTGGATGCCCAGCAGGACCCGCAGTGCAGACAGGACTGCCAACGCAAACGCACCCTTCTGCGGGCGGCTCGCTTTGTTCAGGCCAATATTGACCCAACCATCCAGCCTTGCCAGGACTTTTACTCCTTCGCCTGTGGCGGCTGGCTGAGGCGCCACGGCATCCCCGAGGACAAGCTTAGCTACGGCATCATCACAGCTATAGGGGAACACAATGAGGAGAAACTCCAACAACTCCTGCAAGAGCCCATTCGGAGGCCTGGGCCCAACTCAGCAGAGCGCAAGGTCAAGGAGTTCTATCGGTCCTGCGTCAACATCCAGGAGATTGACAAGCTGGGCTCCAATCCTATGACAGAGGTGCTGGACAGCTGTGGAGGATGGGACCTGGTCGGCGCTCCTCCTGGTGCCGCCGGGTGGGAAAGGGAGGGCGCCCCACTGAGGCCGGACTTCAACGAGCTGCTCTACAGGACTCAGGGGGTGTACAGCACCGCTGTGTTCTTCTCTCTCACCGTCAACGTAGATGATAAAAACTCATCCAGGAACGCCATCAGGGTGAGACCAGAGTGTTCATAAAATCATGTGTGGTCAGAAATATCTCTACGTACTCCAATAGGGCGCCTAAGTCTCCTCCCTTTCCGATCGGCTCATGGGTCCTTGGGAGAACAAAAAAATGAATGCAAGTCAACGGGGTTAAAACGTTATTTTCTAACCCGCTTTGCCTTACGCCCCGGATCGCACATATGTTGTAATGCTATTTAAATGAAAAGTAATGATGGGTGTTTTGACCACGCCAGTCACGTACTTTGAGATTTATCAGCTCGTAAAAGTTCATAATTAGCATGACTAAACACGAGAAATCAGCATGTCGCAAATGTGACGTCACCACATGATCGCCTGTCCCCTAACGTAGCTGCTACTTACCACATGAACAGATTTATGGCGGTTATTTCCTCCTGTGGGAAGTTCGACATATATTGAGGATTTCACCTCGATAACGATAAATGGACGATAACTACGGGTATGTGCAGAAACAAAAGTTGTCCACTAGATGGGGCTGTCACATGTATTACATTAAGTCACATTTTTACGTGACTCAAGGTGGTACAGCTTCTTAAAAGGGCATAAACGTTGCAAACCTGCACACATCTTTTCATTTTTGTATCATCAAATTTATTGACATGGGAAAAATTATCACGATAAGTGTCAGAAATTTCGATAACGATAAATTTTCTATTCATTGCCCAGCCCTGCTTACTGCCATTTTCCTCAGTTTTCTCCGTGTCTGGTTCCATGACGTCCCTTTCGTGAAGCACATTTGTAGTCCTGGAGGTATTTTCACACAAAACCTAAAATAGCATTTCCCCCTGTTAAAAAATAAGTGCCTTCATGGTACCAAAATTTGTCTTTAAAATTCACGGACATCATATGTGAAATTCAAGGCACAAAACAAGCAGAGTTAGAAAATAGACTTTTCAGCCCCGCTGACTTGCATTCATTTTGTCGTTCTTCCGGTGACCCGTGGTCCAGACGTGGATGGGTGTGACTTAGACTCCCTATAAAGAGAATGTTTACATGCTGTAGGACAGCTTTACAAGTTTAAGGCAAAACCTGCAACTTCATGTTTTCAGATGAGAAATCTAACACTCAGCAGCAAATTAGTGTTGAAGTGCTGGTATCATTTAGTGATAATAGCAACAGCATCGGTTAGTGAATACATACAGTTTTGAATAGTTAAACAGTAAAATAATATATATATATATATATATATATATATATATATATATATATATATATATATATATATATATATATAAGTCTTTCCAGGATCCTATGACCTAGGGGTGGGCAATATAGACAATATGAGGTAGAAACTATATAAAATTGGGTAATGGTAGAGTTTTTGGCTATATCGCAATACCGCGATATCGCAATAACACATGATGTCACTAAGATGTGCACCCAGAAGGGCAGTGACTGCAGGCATGGAGTGGGTGGAGGAGGAGGCCTATATGCCTCATGTGGCATTTATTTGCCACATGAGGATATTTAAATGTCATTTTGACATATATACACAGAGGAAAAAATATATCGCAATATATATCGTTACCGTACATTCTTCAGATTATATCGCAATATAGATTTGAGGCCATATCGCCCAGCCCTACTATGACCCCCCAAGGTGCTTTACAACTTCTCAGTAATTCACACACTGATGGTGATGAGCTACGTTGTAGCCACAGCTGCCCTGAGGCGAGATGGCGGTGCACAGTCGCCGCTGGTCCCTCCGACCACCACCAGCAGGATCTGATCTCTTTTTAGGGAAGCTACCTACTTAGCAGTAAAAGTACACAGGTTCAGGTTATTTAGCATCATTTCGTTCCCTTAATAAATCAAATCATCACGTGAAAACTATTTTATTAATTTACTCTGGTTGTGTTGCATTCAGAATTTTGTTTGTTGACCTGAAACATGAAAGCGTGTCAAAAGCAGGAAGAATGTGTCTCTCCTCTGATTTAAAGAAGTTCAACTTAAAGATTCATGCAGGGGTCAGTGATGAGTGGAGGGTTTGGGAGGGATGAGCTCAGCCTATTTTCATTCTGGTTCCAGTAAAAGAAAAAACCCAAAGTTTTCTTAAACAAACACTAATAAACTAAATCCTGCTCTAATTCTGTAAATGTGTGAGACAGGCATGTTTTTGATGTGTGAATTATTCATGAAATGTTAAATAATTTAGGCTCAGTTCTAGTTTTTTAATGTTAAATTTACAACACAGCTAAATCATTCACTGGTTCATGGAATATACATCTGTTGAGCTTTTTATACACACGGGATATCGGAGGAAATGTAATACTAGTCTGTGTTTGTGTGTGTGTGTAGGTTGATCAGGAAGGCCTCACACTACCGGAGAGGAGTCTGTACCTGGGACAGGATGAGGACAGTGTGAAGGTGATCCTTGGTGATCATCATCTCCTATAATGTCTTTCTTTACATCCTACCTTCCCCTACTTTTTTATTACCTTCACACTAAGAGACGTCTTTCTGATCCTCATTAGTCCTCTCTGTCCACTACTTTTCCTTCTCATCCATCTGGCCAGTTGACTCCTCCCTCGCTCTTCTTCATCAGTCCACCTGTTTAGCTCAGCCTCCCGCTGTGCTTTTGTTATCCAGTGCACTCTGCCACATGCCACCCCCATCAGCACTCGTTACTAATGAGGCCTCCGCTGCGCTTCCTGCTCGTTCGCACTGATGTCACTGTACTTCCCAGATCCTGGCGGCGTACAAGGCTCTGATGGAACGCCTGCTGAGCATGCTGGGCGCTCACAATGCCACCCAGAAGTCCAAGGAGATCATACAGCTGGAGACGCGGCTAGCTAATGTGAGCTGACAGCATCTGGCCGCACGCGTGTGTGTGTGTGTGTGTTCACAAGCTAGTGGTCGACCGAGATGTTGAACAAAACCCTGCTTCTCTCTTTAGATCACTGTGTCAGAATATGATGACCAAAGAAAAGACATCAGCACCATGTATAACCGCATCACCCTCAGGCAGCTGCAGCGGATCGCCCCCAGTGTAAGAGCTGCACACACACACACACACAAAGTACCTTTACATCATTTATAAGTATGTGTGTGTGTTTGGATTGGAGCCCCAGTTGAACACTTTAAGTTGTGCCTTGAGTGTGAAATCAGTGAGGGAGTGTGTGTGTGGGGGGGAGGGGGGGGGGGGGTTGTGTGTGTGTGTGTTTTTGCAGAGCAAATGAAGACAACACAAACACACACAGGCCCAAGTGACTCACAAACACTGTCTGCCCTGCAGGGGCAGAGGGGCAGATTGAGAAATGGAATGAAAGTGGTTGGTGGAGAGAAAACTAGAAAATCAGGAGACATTGGGGATGAAGCAGGATAAGGGGGGAGGCAGGAGAGGGAGAGACACTAGAGACGGAGTTAGTGGGAGAGACAGCGGTGACAAAGAATCCCTCAAGGTGCTTCGTGATCAATGGAGGGATGGATGAAGGTTGACGCAGAAGAGATGGAAAGTAGGCCAAAGGGACAGAATTACATTTCAGGATTTAAATCCTCGACACAAAGGGTTAAGAAGAGAGCAAATAAGTGGTCTTTAACGTGTAATGTGAGTTTAGCATGTGGCTGGTTGTGTCTTACACAGAAATAACAAGTGTTGCTGCAAATAACCAAAACAAATCGCAGGTATTTAGGTAAAACGTGTGCAAATAAACGTTTACCCTAACCATCAAATAATCCAAAACATCTGCTCCAAACCCGGACTTGGTGTGAAAGCAGAACCAGTGAGGTACACTCAGATCGTTCCATAATCAACTAAAACTATTGAGAAATTCATCTTCCAGGGAAATGGGAGATTACAGCAGCAGATAGTGAAAGAATGAAGTCAAACAAGTCATTCAGAGCCGATCTGCTCCCACATCCATCCAGTTCAAACTAGACGGAGCATGCTGCTCATCAGAACTCGGCTCTACCTACAGGTATTTTGTGCAGGTATTTTGATACAAGCCAGAAATAAAATGTATATTTAATTTATTCTAACAAAAACGCTGGTGAGATGAGATGTGGCATGAAAACAAACACAAACAGGAGTTTTACAAACGCAAATCTGGGTGTGCAAACCGGTTAGCTGGCTGCGGAAAGTACGATTGCTTTGCAGTTGCTCAAAGCGAAACAGGATGAAGGGAGTAGCTAAAACGAAGGAATGTGCGTTCACCTCCACCTGAGGGAGACACCGACACCAGGAGAGAGAGCTGGCCCAGCTCTGCTGCCCGCTGATGCAATATGGTCGCTGCGGGCTTCTTTAAATTTGAACTTTAGCGAACTCAGACTTTAAATAAGATGTAAACCTCACAGTGAAAACAGATCATAAGGCGATGTCTAGTGAGTCACTTGGTGCTCAAACTGTGACGAGCCTAACTGCAGCATTTCTGGTGTGTTTTAGACAGAATGTGAGAAATAAATTCCTTGTTTTCTCGACTCATTGAGGTATTCTATTGAACAATAGAGATTTAACTAAAATAACTGTGATTACGATGTTACTCCCCTAATCAAGTCAAAGCCCTGATAAACCAGCTGTGGTCATTTTCACCAGGATGCACAGACTGAATAAATGTAACTGAAGGAAATCACCACACTGAAACACAATCTCTCAGTGAGACTTGTTCTGGTGCAGCTTTCCTCATCAGGTCCTAACAGTCGTTCCTCCGTCCTCTGCAGCTCCACTGGAAACGCTTGCTGGACAGAATTTTCCATGACAACTTCTCAGAAGACGAAGAGATCGTGGTGCTCGCTACTGATTACATACAGAAAGTCTCCGACATCATCAAGACCACTTCAAAGAGGTAAAGGAAGAGAGAGCGGCCGCTGGTGTGGATGGAGGGCTGGGGAGCAGCGAGAGAAAGTAGGGGACAGGAGAGTGGATGGAAAATCGATTACACATATGCATTTTTGAAGCTGTACTTTTTAAACGTAAGCATTTTAGTTTGAGATTGGTGTGTGTGTGTGTGTGTGTGTGTGTGTGTGTGTGTGTGCGTGCGTGCGTGTGCGTGTGTGTGTGTGTGTGTGTGTGGAGAACTTCCCGTTCTACTGCAGCTGATTATTATTGATCCACACACACCTTTACCTCCTGCAGACTCAGCCAGACACACATGAATGGACACACACGCACACGTTCTCCTTGCTGACAGACTTCATGGGCGGCTGTAACACGCATCAAGATGCGTGTTACAGCCCCTGACAGCTCACCTATAGGCACTTTGCTCTACACAAATACACAACGGCCCTCGTGCATGGCTGACTGGCTGAATGACTGGCAGGCGGGTTTCTAGCTCGTTGTTTGTGTCTGAGACAGGACACACGTCTCCCTAACTATGTAACCTGTTCAGACATTTTGGTAATTTCATGAATCACCAGTTTACGACGTTACCGCCTCATTCGGTTTGTAATTTCGTCATCTCGTCTCACAGCTTCTAATGCACCAACTCACAGTATTGTTTCCTGTAATCTGGGATTGATTTTGTGCCAGGCTGAAGCTTGGTGACATATTGATCAAATACACAAGATATGTAATCAATTCACCAGAAACATATCCACTTTAAGTCATAGTATGAAATAGTAAATTGACAGAAGTCAGATTATGGTCGGGGGTGATTGATGACTTTTGTTTTTGAAAAGCCAAACTAATCTGCTAATGCAGTAATAGAGAACATTATATAAATGATCATTGGGATCAATATGTTCTTGATCTGTTTGGGTTTGATGTGAATTATACCAGGGGTAAATCCCCCCAGTCCTTCAGGGTTTACATGTTTCCTGCTCCAGCACACCCACATCATGTTGACTTCTGCACAAACCTCTTAAAAGTACAGTCTGAGACATTTTTTTGGAATTTTTTTTTGCCATATTGCTTGAAATGCTAATAACTTACTAATGGCAATCATTAAATAATGTTTTGGGAAAACCTCATCCCACCCAGCACTGGTCCTCCTTCTGAATGATTGGCTCAAAACCCATCCATCAAACTGCTCCTCTGATTATGCTGGTGAAGGTTTTCAGTCATCCAGGTCATGGTAATCCAGAAGGGTTCAATTGAAGGCAACTGGACTGGTTTGGTTTCTTGAAGACGTTTCGCTTCTCATTCGAGGAGCTTTGTCAATTCTGACTGGAATGAGAGTCAAGCTTATAAGCTGTAGCTGTCTGTTGTTATTTACTCCAGTCAGAATTGACAAAGCTCCTCATATGAGAAGTGAAATGTCTTCAAGAAATCAAAGAAGTCCAGTTGCCTTCACTTGAACCCTTTTGTATGCTCCTCTGAACATCACAACATCGCACCACACACCCTCTGAAAACTCAGAGTGTTTCTCAATGTCAAGGAACCTTGACATGATGACTTGATCCCGCCCTGGTTGCCTAGGAGATACGTCATCAGGAACCACCAAGGTCTGTTCTAATGTTCATGTTCTACCGAAGCGTCTGCTCTCCGTTTGTTAGCTGTTTAGCTAGCTGAGCAAGGATACACAGGAGGTGCCTTGTAGCCTGGCCTTGGTCAAAAGTTTTGCAGTAAGGATGGCGGATCAAGAACCTGCAGCTATTTCGGGGGCAAATTTCAAGTTGAAATGTAAGTCAACTAGACCAAGGAAGAACAGTGTCCTCGTAAGCAAGGCGCCTGGCCTCACAAGGCGATGTCTTGCTAGGCCGATCCTCACAGGACGATCATTCAGTGTATCATGGCTTGGACAATCCTCTACCGTGCACCATCTTGCCACAGGAGTCCCCCAGGGCTCTGTACTAGGACCTCTTCTCTTTGCCATTTACACCACCTCACTGGGTGAGATCATTCGATCACATGGCTTTTCCTACCACTGCTATGCAGACGACACCCAGTTCTATCTGTCATTTCCACCGGATGACCACACTGTCTCTGCACGAATATCAAACTGTCTCTCTGACATATCAAAATGGATGAAATCCCACCACCTCCAACACATCCTCTCTAAAACGGAACTACTTGTTATCCCAGCAAAACCATCCATACAGCACAATATCTCAATCCAAAACGACTTCCTATCTCTGGCTCCTTCAAAGGCAGTTCGAAATCTGGGTGTTGTGATTGATGAACACCTGAGCTTTAAAGATCATGTTGCCTCTGTTGCTCGTTCATGCCGCTTTACCGCCGCTGTATAACATACGAAAGATCTGACCATACCTAACACAACATGCCACCCAGCTCCTGGTGCAATCTACTGGCATCTCCCACCTCGATTACTGCAATGCCCTTCTAAATGGTCTTCCAGCCTGTACTGTGATACTTCTTCAAATGGTCCAGAACGCAGCGGCGCGTCTGGTCTTCAATCAGCCAAAAAGAGCACACATCACCCCTCTGTTCATTGAGCTCCACTGGCTACCGCTAGCTGTATGCATCAAATTCAAATTTCTAACACTAGCATACAAAGTCTGAGATGGTACGGCTCCCATCTACCTGAATCCTCTTGCAAAGGCTTACGTCCCGGCCCGGCCGCTCCGGTCATCACAGGATCGTTGGCTAGCAGTGCCTACACCACGCTCAGGACAATCCAGACTCTTCTCATGCATCGTTCCACAAATGTGGAATGACCTACCAAGCACTACCACAACAGGAGCTTCCTTTTCAATTTTCAAGAAACTCCTGAAGACCCTGCTCCTCAGAGAGCTTCTTCTAAACTAGCACCCTCCCTGCACCCGTCCCCCCTTTCTACTGTCCACTCCTTGTTCCCTCCTCTCCATGATTCATCATGCTGCCTCACTGCCACCTATGACTGACTGGAAATTGTTTGTTGTTGTTGTTGTTATTATTGTTGTTGTTAGCCTCAAGGGCAACATGGCGATTATCACTTGTAAGCAGCTTTGGACAAAAGTGTCTGCTAAACACATAAACATCAGGGAACACACCAGGTGAATTGGGATGTTAGGAAAAGAACAGAGAAGCCATCCAAAACTGTCTTCAAGGTCAGGGGCGGATTTAGGACTGAAGAAGATCCGGGGCTTAGCACACGCGCACAAACACACACACACGCACTAGTCAACATCATATATATTCGTCTTGTACCGCATAATTTTAAATCTGAAGCTACATATTAAGCATATTCAGGGCAGAGTATTGTTCCTGTTAGTGTTTAGTGTGAGATGATAGTAAATATTCCCTTTCTTTCTCCAACAACTTTACCTGATAGTAAGCTAACTTTAGGCAAACCAGCAGAACAACAAATATTTTCAAATAAGACTCAAGCCTGAGTCAGCACCAGTCTCATCAAAGCTGGGGTTCTGTCGTTGTACTTTTTGGCTAAAAAATGTCCTTATGTCCATCTTCACTCATGCGTTTCAGGCAGAGAGTGTAGAAGAAGCCGGCTGCTGAAGGGCTTCTTCTTCAGTGGTGGAGGCTCAGGCAGGCTGTATACAAACTACTGCCAGCTGCTCCCTCTCTGTTGGACTTTGGTACTGCATGTTACTTCCACGATTTAGATCCGGAGATTTGCATAAAACATTCGGGGCTTGAGCCCAATAACCGGGCCTAACCCCGCCCCTGTTCAAGGTCAAGGTCTGTCCCTTTATGATTGCCTGATTCGTCTTTAAATGGCTTCGTGGAAGAAAAGCCAAGAAGACTTCATTGGTTGTAAATCTAAAATGCACATTGAACAACTTATAAGATTCTGGCTGAATTTGCTCTCAACAAATGTTAGAAAACTGGACATTTTTGTCTCTTTTTTATTATTATTATTTTTTAAATGTTTTTAAAGAACACTGTACTTCTGTGAAGCATGGATGAGGCATGGTTTTGTTTTGGGCTGCTTTGCTGCATCTGGAACAGGAAACCTCAAACCTGCATGGGTTCCAGAACCGCCTCAGGACCACTAAAGCATCCTTAATGGAAACATAGGATAACGACCCCAGCATACAGCTAAAATCGCTCAAGACTGGCTGGGACATAAACACTGGACTGTCCTTAAATGACCCACTTTCAGCCTGGATCTCATTTGCATGGAACGTCTGTGGATGGATCAGAAAAAAACACAACTCTTCCTGAGCAAAACTGCTGCTTCTGTAAAACACTTTAATCAGAATAGCATCTCTGAAAGGAGATTTCAGAGAATTACTTTGCAGGTAAATAGTTGCTCCCATCTCTGTTCAGCTTTTAACAGCTTATTCATCCCTTCAAAGCTCCTGTTTTCTACTGCTTAGCTTTGCATCTTTTATCTGATTGTCTGGTTTTATCTACTCTCCCGTCTCTGTGTGCTTCTGGCATACTGTTAAAGGATAATTGTCCTTGTAAACGTAAGCCGCCATCTTTGCTCACATCCATTAGGTCTGTTTCACTTCTCGTCTGATGCTCTGTCGGGTGCCATGTTGTTTACCAATCTTCTCTTTCAGCTGTACATCCATCAATCCCCCTTGATGGCGTTTGTAATTAAATCTACTCTGTTTCAATCATTCCTCTCTACCTGTCTTTAGTTTTCCCCGCAAGTGTCTAACTGACAGCCTGGGCCTTCTTCCTTTTATCACTCATTCAGCATTTGGCAGATATGGGCTTCAGCGTGGAGCTACACACACTTGACGCTCAGAGGACGCAGCAGTTTTCTAGGAAAGTCTGCCACACTTTATCTTCTGCAGTTTGAAATGACTAGTGATCACCACCACTAAAGCGTTGTTGTCGTTCTTTTTATTATTCCAACCTTGTTTGGGATTTATTTTTTATCTCCTAAACCAGGGCTGTTCAGTCCAGGTCCTGGAGGTCCGCTGCCCTGTGTGCTTTAGCCGTTTCTCTGCTCCAACACACCTGATTCAATGGTTGAATCACATCTTCAGCGGG